CTGTAATTAAAAAAAATACGTATAAATAATACTTCTGTTTTGTGCACATACATCATATTACTTTGCTATCCTAGAAAAGGTGCAATAATAAATAATTAGTTTAAACATAATTTATTAAGATGGAAATACCACAACTTTAAAGTGACTTTTATCATATTTTAATAAAGCTACCTTGTACAATGAGAGTTTTCAAAGGAAAAGCAATCTTCAAGTCAAAACTGTTAAACAAAAAGTTCCTTGAATCTCTGCATTTTGCAATACAGTCTATGAGAAATCAGCATGTCAAAACAGAGGGACTTATAAATGAACATCAATGGTAATGTTTCAGATAGCTCAAAAATTATAATATGGCTACTGGTTCTTCATCCACGGCAGCTTAAAGAAACTGCTCTGAGAAACATGAACAGGCACTGTAGAATTATGAAAGCAAAGTTAACAAAGACAGCAGAAGAAAATACCCACTTAAACCTTTCAAAACATTAATTTCATGTTCCTTCATACCTAGTAGTTTTGGGGTTACTCACAAATATATGTTTTATGGCTAAATATGGAGGTGAAGATCAGTATTTTATTTTTTTAGTTGAATACATAGTCATTTAACTTTATAAAATTTGGTCACCGAATTAGTAAAAATTATTTAAAATGTTTCATCACTTCTCGGCCTTTTGGCTAAGATCAAGTGTAGTATCTGTTCTTACCAGTATTTAAAATGTTTCATAAGGGGATTTGAAAGTTATATCACCTGGGCACTCTGACGGTTTGATTAGCTCTTTTAGAAGACACAGTATATTTAGTAGTAGTGCTTGCTACCCTATCATGAAGTGGTGAGGAGAGATGACTGCAGTCCCCGAGTGTTTACAGCAGGCCAGTGTGGCCATCTTCTTAATTTATACTGAGTATGCAGCTACAAAAATCAGCACACCTGGACTTACTTCAGCACAATAAAATGGTGTTGTATAAGTATACGAGTGTGACATGTTCATAAGCCCTAAAACCCATAAGCTAGGTATTGACCCATAAGCTAGGTATTGACCTTGAACTCGGACCTGTTGACATCCATATCTCTATCTATGCCCCCTCCATGGACACCTCAAACTAGACTGTAGTCACTGATAGGGCACTGAAGTAACTGCTTTGTTCTCTATGTGGGGCAGGTTAGAAAGGATGGCTAACGTAACTCTAAAATCTGAGTGCAAGTTTAGTTTTTACAGCTGAGGTTTTCTGAACTTCATTAGCTCATTTTTAGTAAGTATCACCAATGCTACCATTAAAACAGATGTGCTAGGAACATTTTAAAGGCAGTCTGTAAGGTCTGGTTATTCTGTTACTGTGACCACAGGCAGTAAACATATCATGTTCCAGAGTGGACACATATGAATGTATTTATACATCTTACACGTGCTTTTGATTTACTTTTACTTTATACATATAAAATATTGTCTTTTTCTAATATATTTAATCCTTTCATGAAAATAATTTTTTCATTATTGAAATCTAAATAATCCAAATACAAAACCACATCTTAAAGATGGCAAACATATTCAAGGTTGCCAACTAGGTTAAATTATTTTATGGATGATATTAGAAGAAGTTTTTAGCAGTTATTAATCTTAGTAGACTTTTTCACCTGAGAATTACTCATCTTTAAAGAGTTATAATTATAATGCTAACCCTAATTCTACCTTATCCTACTATAAAGGTAAATTAGAACAAACCTTAAGTTTTATCACACATGAAAATCCTACAAAAACTTATTAAAATCCTCCATTAATTTTTTCCTCATAAGATCCTACACTGAACTACTGGGTTACCATGTAGACTGCAAACTTTTCTAGACTGCCCTACCTTGTCTTGCCCACTTCATCATCTCTAGCGTCTCCTGTCTCGGTATCTCTGTCTGTGAGGTAGTCACTGAAACCCCTCTCTTAGTCTGCATTTTCACTGTGAGTTCCTAAGTACAGTCCGCTCTTACTGTCTATGTCTTATTGTCTATGTATAGCTTTGATCTTGTGTATCTTCCAGCTGTTTTTCGCCTTCTTTACACTGACTTCCCGCCAATGTGTGTGCTTTCACCTGCTGAAGTCTAATGCATCCCACAAGCACTTTAATTGTACCCATAAAAATATTCAAACCTCATACCCTATAGTGTAACTGTTCCAACAATTCTTATTGTGCTGTTTCTCCTGAGCAGATATTAGCCCAAAAAGGCATCTTCCAGTAGGCCAGGCCACCATTTTATTTGACTTTACTGTTCCTGTTTGCACCTGGTTTAAGTTTCATATGGGTAATCATTAGAGAAATAAAACATAGGATACATTTGTACAGGGAATACAATTATTTAAACGATGGTTTGCCACACAGAGAGACATTTGTATGTGTATGTACAAAACACCTGACATTGGGTTCATTATTTCTTAGTTTAAAAAAGATTGATTTATTTTATGTGTGTATTTTATTTGCATGTCTGTAATTGTACCTTGCACATGTGGTACCTGCTGAGGCCAGAAGAGGGCATCATATCTCCTGAAGCAGGAGCTGCAATTTTAAGACTTCTTTGGGGAGCTGTGAACCTAATACGTGTTTTTTTTTTTTTTTTTTTGCAAGAGCAGTAAGCATTCTTAACTGTGTACTTCTAGTCTCTGACTCTGGATTCTTAAATCAAGAGTAATGTTTACTATTCTCAAATTCTAAAAGTTCCATTTACACCATGCATATGCTGAAGCATTCAAAAGTTAAGTACAGTGATGTTTTAATCTTCTTGGAAATTTTTTGAAGCCAACACAAAAAGTTTTTTAGTCACTTATATATCCAATACTGTCACACTGACAAACAAGTATCTATATAACATCTGCCTTATTCCTACATGTTCACTTATTAAACTATTGTTTCCTACCCTGTTTTATAGTGTCCTAGTTTCTAAAGCTAGTGGCTAGCCTAGTTCAGCCATGAAAATGGAGTCAGATTAATTTCAGGGGTCTGGGACTGAGTGTTATTTTATTAAGTGGTGAGAGGGGCCAGTTAAAAAGATGGCCCAAAGTGGGCATCTACTGACTCAAAGAGTAACTGTACTGCGAATGCCTCGCCCTTCTGTTCCAAGCTTTGCATTCTAAACTCAAACTAGGCGTGATACATATGAGTAGGTACCTCTAGAAGTACTATGGGATTGTACCTCATTTTGTTTCTTTTACACGCTTCATTTTCCCTTCTGTCTATAAACTAAGACAGTAAGAAGGGGAGACAGTGAATCCCCTTTTGTATGGCTCTGGATGGAGACAGAAATGAACATGTCCTTACAAAATGTCTAATAGCAAAACAAGAATAGGTTACTGTACTTCTTATATGTCTTAACACTCCTTTGCTTTGCTTCTGAAGCATTCTTCTCCTTTGTGGATGATGCCTGTTTTACAGTCACATTGCAGCACTGCTTGGGAGGTAAAGGTGGAAGGAAGAGAAGGAGACAGTGCAAGCTTTCTAGCACAGAAGCACTGAAAACTACTCGTGGTACTCCGAGATGACAAGCACTGTCGACAGTTACACCAACAGCAAAGCTGTTACAGTCAACTGCAGGGAACCAGAGAAGTTGTCAAGTGATACAATATGGCAGAGAAGTCTATTTTAAAAGTCAGAATAATTTAGGATAGTCTTGCTGCTTTAAAAATTCTGATTTTCTAAACTGAAGTTCTCTTTATAGAAGAAGGGCTATTTGAAATATTCACAGGTAAAATAAAAAAGTGCTTTTTATTATTGTTCATAGTCTCCCCACATCCATTTTGGCATAAATGCGCTAAAGCAATGTTTAATTCTGGTTAGTAAAAACGTATATCTGAAAAATTTAATTTTTGATATGCAAATTAGGACCCTCAATTTATTATTATTCTCTGAATTCAATATTCAACTTAAAAGGTGAAAATGTGCAAGCTGGATGCTGATTCATGTCTTTAATCTTAGCACTCAGGAGACTGAGGCAGGCAAATCTCTATGAGTTCAAGGCCAGCCTGGTATATAGAAAGTATTCCATGATAGCCAGGGCTCCACAGAGACACCTTGTTTCAAAAAAAAAGTGAAACATGAAAATAGCAATGAACAAAGTCAGAGAGTGTGTTTAGTGATGTAGATGATGGGAAGAAAGGATGAGGCTTGTGACTAGAAAGGGACCTGTTTTGGACACTCTTGCTTGGAATATCTGTTAGACACTAAAATGATAATGTCAAGCAGATGAATGGCTATGGCTTTGGAGATTAGAAATGTTTGAGAGTTAAAGAGATGGAACACTTTGCATCATAAGGAATACACAGTGTCACCCAAATAGGGAAAATGTAAAGACTGATTAAATAATAATCAATAAAGTAATAAGGGGGAAAAGATATGACTTTTAAAATCATCAACTGTACTGGAGCAGTAAATTAACCACTGTGAGGCCACATTATGAACATGCATGTGTGTGTATGTGTGTGTGTGTGTGTGTGTGTGCGCGTGCGCGCACAAACACACCAACACTACAATAACACTGGACATACTGGCAATGAAGGAAGCATGGGGAAAAAGCATCTGCTTAATCTAGTTTCATAATTTTTGGCAATAACAGTACAAAACAACATTAAAAAAGCATGAATATAATTTGCATGTAAAGATCTCCAGGAAAAAATATCTAGCCATATCTGTCACTAGGCAAGTCTACTAATGCAACTCAGACAGAAAAAAGCCTTTCAAGTAATATACCTTTGTACCTTAAATCATATTACTTAACAAATCTTCTTAATCCTAAACTAATATCTATACTAAAACGTTTGCAGGTATTAAACTGTTCAAACATATATCTGTTACCTTGGCCCCCAGGAGCTATTATATTAGAAACTCCACACGTAGGTTTTATATGAAGCTGGGCTCAAGAACTTTTGATATGATAACTATGAAAGATAAAAATTACATTTATTATATAATAATTAATTTGGTATAATTTTAAAATATGAAAAAATGGCCATTCCCTTACAGTAAATGAG